GATCCTGCACAAATAGCGAAGCGATACTGCTGCGATATTTCATCATGACTCCTTGCTGTGTTTCACTCCCACAGGTTTAACAATTTCGTTATTCAGGACTTTATTTGTTTATCTAGGACTGCATGCTTGGCTCTTCTTCTGATATTCTGAGTTCTTCCTTCTTTTGTTTCTTTTATAAAGGGACAATAATGTGTTTTCTGTTAGTGTGTGTGTCTGTTTTTCAAACGTGCAAAATTTATCTGATGATAAAATATTAGGTTTTATTTTGTCTAATAGATACTGTATTTGAGTTAAGAACAGTTTTCTATATTCACAATTGAAGTAAAGACGCTTATGTGTCTCAGTATCTTTCCTTTGGCCTATCCAGAAAACATAGTTGTAGGTCTATCAAATTTTTGATAAAGTAATTTCTTTTTCAGCCAAATATTAAAAGAATACTGAAGCTTTTCTTTCTAGCCTGTTCACAGAGGTTCCAAACCCTCCTCCCCTCAACCATTTGAAATGAAAATCCATTTTACTTGTTGTTTATTTATTTATTTATTCCAAAACTTCTACTAGTCTCTTTGATACATGATAAATAGAAAATTTTTCTTCTCTTACCTTAAAGCCTCTGTTTAAGATATCACTTCTCATCTGCACGTGATTTTCCTGAGATCTCTTAGTTGTTGGGATTTTTCTGACATCGATCGAGTGATTTGTCATCAATATTCAAACTAAAGAAGCGAACTGGCATAACATGTTAACTTATTTCTTCTTGTCCTAGGACTTTTAAGATAGTAATAGCAGTGCTAACTTGTGTACTTACTATCATGATAAAAACAGATATGACCTTGATGTGAAGACGTCTAAATTACCTCTGGAAGGTAGACAAGGAAAATAATTTTGAGTGTTCTAGCATTCTCACAACCTGGTTGAAAACTTGCTGGTTACTGAACATCCTTTTTTAATAGACTAGGAACCATAACTGTTTTATATTTTTTTTTTGTCCCTATTTGCAGATTGTGGTTTGGAGATTTCTTCAAAGGTCAAATGGTTCGGATGTACAGGCAACAAAACTGGCCTTGTTTTACATTGTCTTGTTTCAATACATCCCTAGATTTCTTCGAACCATACCTTTGTCTTCAGAACTGAAAAGAACAACGGGTGTTTTTGCTGAAACTGCTTGGGCAGGTGCTGTGTGTTATTTGCTATTGTACATGCTTGCAAGTCATGTAAGTGCCTGTTTGTTTCTGTTATCTTTTTTTACATTCAAATGCTGGTTGATCTGCTCTTGTCAATTTCTGTTTCAGTTGCTTAAATTTGCATTTATAGCAATCATGTTCTCTGTTTGAAAGTCATTTATCCTTTGGAAGTGACAAATTAGCTTCTTCTTTCTCTAGTGTGCCACTTTTTTCCTATCCTGGCTTTAATGCATAGTTGAGTTTAAGAGCTTCTCTCAAAATTTCTCTTTTTGAAGGTATCTGCAATCTTTTTATGTCTTGATATGAACCTTCACATATTTAAGGAGATTCAAATACATTCATACATACATGATGTGTATAATTCGGTTACTTTGTTTTTTGATGTCGATCCTTTTCTTTCTCTGTTGGTGTTTCTTTCAGATAGTCGGGGCATTCTGGTATTTGTTATCTGTAGAACGTAATGATACATGTTGGCAGAGGGCTTGTCTTCAGAGTGGAACTGGAAACTGCAGTACAAGTTTCTTATACTGTGGCAATGAAAATCAACCAGGTTTTGATAAATGGAGTGGCATCATGGATTCTATTCTCAAAACAAAGTGCGGAGCTGATGAGGATGATGATGATCCTCCATTTGATTTTGGAATATTCACACAGGCTTTGTCGTCTGGGATTGTTTCATCTACGAAGTTCCTTTCTAAATATTGCTATTGTTTGTGGTGGGGACTGCAGAATTTAAGGTATCTTTTAAAGATTTTTTTCCTACTGTAGCAATAACATGAGTCACTTGATTGCTTGCGGTTTGTTTTTCCCAACCTGAAGATAGTTCTCAGAACACATGTTCTTATATTGGAGACTTGTATCTTCTAATAATGTTTGCAAGCTGATTTCACTTATTCAATAATTTCTGACATATGGATGCTGGTTTGAAAACAAATTTACGAGAATAGTAACTGATTTATGGATAAAAAGTTAATCGAATTTGATTAATCTCGCTCTTGTTTATCAACTATAAAGTTGGACTTTCACTACATGCTTCAACTATTGAAGTCTTCCTATTTCTCAACTTTGTTGCAGCACCCTTGGCCAGGGGCTTCAAACGAGCACCTATCCTGGGGAGGTCATTTTCTCCATATTACTTGCCATTTTAGGGCTTATCCTCTTTGCCCTTCTGATTGGGAACATGCAGGTAACTGGAGCTAATTGATTTTTCTTAAGCTAAGACCTTTTTAATAATTTTTTTATCTACTTATAACAACGGTGGCCTATATCTTGTGGTCTAAATTGCTTTCACAGTCAAGGGTGAATCTTGGATCAATTATAAGCTGATTTGGGTTTGATACCTTGTGGTGGACACTACTTTTTGTAACATGAAGGTGTCTTCTGGGGCTAAGGCATCAATTTCCAGGTTTACCATGCATGGTTGGGTAAAATGTGGCTCTGCCTTCAGTGTTCCGGTTATGAAAAAAAGTGGCCTAGGCTCTAGAACGTATAGTAATCCAGAACTAGCATGTTTTGGTTTCTTGTTATTACATTTAGATCTTGTTGCAGTAAAGGAATAGTTGGAAAGGCAAACTGGTGGCAGTTTGGTGTGTGATCTGTGATGTACTGGCAGAAGAAGCAACATCAGCATCCAGAGCCTGATATTTGGCTAAAAAATATGTGCCCAAATGCATTAGAAAAAATATTCTCTTTCAGATATAGTTAAATTTTGTTTCAGCAACTCTCATTTATATTAGAAACCAATAGATCCATCATGCATGCCGGTGCTGGAAGGAATAAACTCACAGCTTGAGATGTAGTTAAAATGGGAAAAGGTTTTTCTCAGGTTTGTGAGAGTGGTGGTATATGTAAGACCAGCTTTAGAATGTTGAAAAATGCTATTTTTCTTATTAGTGGCATTGTTTTCCTGAAGTATGAGTTTAAGAGGGGACCCAAACTTGGAACATAGGTTTAGTGGTATAAGGTGCCTTAGTCGGATTTGGTGGTATAGAACAAAGCCTGGCTTGCCTTTGTATTGTTTTTAGCACTTCCTGGCATCTTGTTTCAGCTCTAAATTGTAGAAGCTTGCCCCTTCATTCAATACCGAAAAAAGGAGAGAACATCTCTGGCTATTCGGATATGCTGCCTAGATTCAATTTCCGATACCCAGAAAGCCAAAAGTTTATATTTTGTTCAACATGTGGAGGAATTTAGAAAACATTTGCTGGCTTATCAGAAAGGGAGAAACAAAAGAGGGATACTATTTCCTTAGTTTTGACAATTGCCTATTTCAGAAGACAATGCAGGGAGAGTAGCACGCTTAAGCTCATACTGTTGTGTGCTTGAATAGGGATTGCTTAGGTCAATAAAAAAACTGAGTTATAACCATCATCAATGCTGAAATCTGGGTGATATGATTATCTGATAAATTGTGATTGCTATGTTGTTGTTACAGACTTATCTTCAATCACTTACTATTCGGCTTGAAGAAATGAGAGTCAAAAGGCGTGACTCAGAACAGTGGATGCATCATCGCATGCTGCCACCAGACCTTAGAGAACGAGTCAGACGTTATGACCAGTATAAGTGGCTAGAAACACGTGGGGTGGATGAAGAGAATTTGGTCCAGAGCCTTCCAAAGGACCTTAGAAGAGATATTAAGCGGCATCTCTGCCTTGCTTTGGTGCGAAGGGTAAGACTTCTTTATTCTTTTTTGTTCTGGTCCCTGCTATACTTTTTTCTGGCAGCAAGATGACATTCTGTTGGTTGATATAGAAAGCAGCTTACACAGTGAATGATACATTTCATCACAAGTTTTTGGTGTAAAACTGTACAGCTAGTTTCCTAAATGAATTGAACAGCTTTTTTACAGTAATATACAATGAAAAAAAAAGATCATTTTGTGCAAGCTGTAGGAGGTGCAACTAAAGACAACCAAATCAAGGGTAGACCTTTAATTTCTAACCCGAGTACTTGAGGTCTGAAATCAAAATAATGATATTATCCAAAGTCGACAGATCTCATAGTGATGTTGTACAAGTTAGAGTTAATTTGTCTGTTTAGTTATTTGGGTGAAACCTAGATATCGCTTTTATTGTTCTTAGTTATTACCGTTAGATTTGATTGATCATACCATTGGGAATTTCTCAAAAATATGTAACTGAAGAATTGAAATGTTTTAGGAAGTGAAATTACAGTGATATTTACAATGTTTCTTAAGTAACCTTTACAAAATAGGATTAATTAAAAAATACTAAAACTAATAAGATTGGAAATACTACTCTTAATAAAGTAAGAAATTAATACTACTAAAATTAGGAATACTACTACTAATAGAATTAGGAAATATTACTAATACAAATAGGAAGCTAAATATTAATAAGTTTTAAAGTTACTAAGCTATAATAATAGACTCTTAGATAATATTAGTAGTTTATTTATATAATTATGATTTCTAGTGTATATATGTAATCTATAGCTACTCCATTTTACATCACATAGAGCTCTGCCTCCTGACATTTATTTGATATGTTATTATAGTTTAGAGAACAATTGTAACCTTTTTCTCTAGTGTTTTTGAGCCGAAATTTTGTGAACTGGATTAGTTAGTGTCCTCCCTATTCTTGAGAATTTTATCGTATCTACCTATAGGGATATAAGGAGAACCAAGGAGCACAGGGCTTATGGTGAGGGGCTATATTTTGTTGTTTATGGATCATCTGGTTGGAACATAGTGCAAGGATTTTTAAGCATCATTTTCAAGCATGGCATGGTTTAGGACGAATAATTTTTGTTTCATTTGTTTTGCACTGAAGTCCGTGGCTTTTCTACATGGAATTTTTATCTCCTTGCACGGATTGGATCTCTATTTTGTCTTATCATTTTTTACATTATATACTGCTTAATCGGTCTCTAACTGACAATGTCCGATTTCACTTTGTTTCAATATTATGAATGCCTTGTATGGTGTCAATAGGTTCCTTTATTTGAGAGTATGGATGAAAGATTGCTTGACGCCATTTGTGAGCGGCTGAAACCCTGTTTATTTACGGAGCAAACTTACATTGTTCGAGAGGGAGATCCAGTTGATGAAATGCTCTTTATACTTCGAGGTCGCCTGGAAAGTGTTACCACAGATGGTGGAAGGAGTGGATTTTTCAACCGCAGCCTCCTCAAAGAAGGAGATTTCTGCGGCGAAGAGCTTTTAACCTGGGCATTGGATCCCAAATCCGGTGTTAACCTCCCATCATCTACGCGAACAGTTCAGGCTTTATCAGAGGTCGAGGGCTTTGCCTTGCAAGCAGAAGAGTTAAAATTTGTGGCAAGTCAATTCAGGCGTCTTCATAGTCGACAGGTCCAGCATACCTTCCGGTTTTACTCACAGCAATGGCGTACCTGGGCTGCTTGTTTTATCCAAGCTGCATGGCGTCGTTATTCCAAGAGGAAAAGCTTGGAGCTTCGACGGAAAGAAGAAGATGAAGCAGAAGGTTCAGATGGTCTCCGCAGCTCTACTGGAGGAGGATCTTACAGTATCGGTGCCACATTCTTGGCTTCAAGGTTTGCAGCAAATGCTCTTCGAGGCATTCATAGGAATCGGAATGCCAAAAGCGCTAGGGACTTGGTGAAATTACAGAAGCCTCCGGAGCCTGATTTTACCGCCGAAGATGCTGACTAATTTCAGATGTATGATACTACAATTACTTAAAAAATATTTTGTCATTATATTTTCTCCCAAAATAGCTGAGAAGTGTATAATACACACAGACTGTCCAGCTTGATACTATAGTTGTAACGTTAAAAAAAAACAAAGACTATATAAGCTTGGCTTGTTGCAGTTGCGTCTCCATGTTTAACGTAGCCGCATAAAGTAGGCCAGAGGCCTTTCATAAACGTAAAAGTCAATTGGGAATTTCGAAGCTGACAAAAACATTATATATTTCTACAGGTGACATTTTCGGCAAGTATTTTGCATTGTTAACAAAGGATATATTGTCAGAGTGAGATCCACCCATTTTTAGCAGAACCTAAAGTTGAAATGTTTGTGTTTCTTTTATTTCCTATTAACTAATTTACATTTTCTTTAAATGTATATGCACGACAATCTAATTTCTCTAAAGGTATAAGAGAATTTTTATACAGGTATATTAAGACGCGATTAGAGTTCAAATTTTAATATTTTGAAGCAACTATGATTATATTTGTACGGACAGCATCATCCAACGGATCCGTGGCGCAATGGTAGCGCGTCTGACTCCAGATCAGAAGGTTGCGTGTTCGATTCACGTCGGGTTCAATTCCTGATTATGCTTTTTCATATATTGATATCATTATTATAATATTTATAATAATGACAGGGTAGCAGCAACGTGGGATCCGTGGCGCAATGGTAGCGCGTCTGACTCCAGATCAGAAGGTTGCGTGTTCGATTCACGTCGGGTTCAACCCCTCAAGAATTACCAGATTGTTTGAAAGTTTTTTTTCTTTTTAACAGTAATCTACAGAGAATATTTACTTAAAGCCGAACACTGTATATTAACATTGTGTAGTTATGTAAAAATATTATTTCTTTCTAAATTTACATCTTCTTTTTCGTCCCAAAATTCCAAAAGATCACAAAACCTTCTTCTCCTTAATTCAGTATCCCCCGTAGCAAAAAGTAGCATACTTATTTGACAAAAGATTCCAACATCAACAATAAATTAGAATGGCTTGTTTTTGTTCCGCAAAAGAGAGAAGTTAACTATTACACTGCTGCTGCTGCTGCTAATACTACTAATTTCTATAAACTACCTTAAATAAAAGATTACACAAACAGAAACGTGATAAATAATTTGGAAGTCGGAGCCTTCGGTATAGCAAGAACTTCACCATTTTACATTTTGCTTGGTAAGTTTCATTTTCCCATGAAAGATAATAGAACAAAGATTTGTGATTACAAGCCGTTACTTAAAAACAAATATCAAATTAACATCTTTTATAAACAGGCTTTCCTGGAAACCATAAACAAAACAGGATTAAACATACACGAATTTTCTTTCACTTTCTAGAATAGGCATTGATGATAGGGAAGTTATCGATCCCCTAAATCGTCTCAACATATAGAACAGTAAGCAAATGTAGTGAGAAGAATACAATCAACAAGAAAGAAAAAGAAACTACAACTGCCAAACAACCTGTGTCGAAGTAACTAAGAATAAAAATTTCTATCATCAAAGACTCCAGAACTGAATCCAAAATTATATATGCTTTCCCGGAAAAACATGCTGCAGGTCCAGTCTCATTTCTGGGATAGTTTGTTCCATCCCCATGTTGAATTTATGGTATCAATTCTTCTTCAGACTGCAACTGATTAATCAATCTTAACCGATGAGTAGATAAGCCGTGTAAACCAGAAACAAGCGTAGAAGCCAATTGTACCAGTCAGTACAAAGAATGCGTAGACACAATTAGCATGTATCCGAAGTACAAATCCCAGATACTGGCTTTGTGATCTCAGCTTTGTGAGAGTAGAAGCAGCATAGAGATAGTAGAGCGCAGAAGAACCTGAGGTCAAATAGGACCTCCACCACCACAAGTAGTCCTCGCTGCAAAGCTGGAAGTAGCAGAGTACAACTGTGATCTCAGCGCAAGTGACAACAAGAATAAGGAAGACAATGAAGAGGAACCCAAATATGTAGTAGAATTGATGCAACCATATTGATGTCAGGATGAAAAAGAGCTCGATAAAGACAGCACCAAATGGAAGGATGCCTCCAATTAAGATGGAAAAGGCCGGGTTCATGTACCAGGCCTGCTCCGGGATCTGCCTTGGTATCTTGTTAGTTTTCACAGGATCCTCCATGGCTGGCTTCTTGAATCCAACATAACCACCAATGAAAACAAGTGGAACAGAGATGCCAAACCATAAAAATACCAGGGCAAACATTGTCCCAAATGGCACTGCCCCAGAGGATTTTTCTCCCCATATTAAAGCATTCAAGACAAAGAAGATCGCAAAGACACTAGCTGGGAACATGAAAGCTGTTTTGAGGGTGATTTTCTTCCATTCTGTTCCCTTGAACATCTTATAAAGACGGGCGGAAGCATATCCCGCTAACAGGCCCATGAAGACCCATAGTAAAAGCATGGCCGTCATCAAACCACCTCTGTTTGAAGGAGAGAGGAACCCAAGTACGGCAAAGATCATGGTGACGAGAATCATTCCAAAAAACTGAACCCCAGTCCCAGCATAGACACAGAGTAAATCTGAGTTTGTTGGAGGCCTGAAAACATCCCCATGGACAAGTTTCCACCCTGTCTCTTCCTGTGCTTCTTCTTGAGTCTCTAATTGGTTGTACTTAGAAATATCACGGTAGAGTGTTCGCAACATGATCATGGCCACCATTCCCGAGAGGAAAAGAACAATCATCAAAGAATTGACAATTGAGAACCAATGAATCTGATCATCAGCCATCAGAAGATAAGTATCCCAACGAGATGCCCACTTCACATCACTTTCCTGCAAGTTGAAACAATGATAAGCAAATCAAGAAAGTAAAAACACTCCTAGGCCCAACCACATGGCAGCAAGCAACAAGCTCGTTGTTTCAAATAGATAAGGG